ACTAACACATGACCCTACGCTGTGTTCACTGCATCATTCCATGTTTGGCACTGATCACCACCTGCACTCATGTATATATCATGTATATATCGATCCACTTAGCACTTTTAATTCTTATTCTTATTTTTATATTTTTATGACAGTATGTTGCACTGAAGCACCGCAGCAATTTCCTAATGTTGTAAACCTGCTCAACATCTGGCAATAAACCCTTTCTGATTCTGATTCTGATTTATGGATAAAAAATTTAGCTAAAAGTATTAACAAATTTATTACTGCCAAAACTGATGTCACAACGATCGTATCCCTGGAAATCGAGGGGTTTACGTTTGTCATGACTGACTTGTGTGACTCTTACATCAAGACTACCAACATTCAAATATCCAAAGCGGGTGTTTAAATGTTGGTAGTCTTAAACAAAACCTTTGTTATTGGATAATTGCTTGGCAAAGTGTCAAATTTTATTTAGACTTTTTACTTGCCTAAAAGCTATAATCCTACTGAAGAAGCCGAATAGTGCACATAATTAATCATCAAAATGCAGTCAAGCAAAAAAAAGAAAGAATACTAATTAAATTAGTAATGCTACCCAGTCATATGGAAAGATTTAGGGCCAATGTGTGACACATCTTTATTTTATTTTTTTACATTTTAATGTACATAATGATTATTTTATTAGATTTTTATTTTTAATTATTGTTTTTACATTGATTCCACCAAATACAAACACAAATTAAATATATGCTGACTTTCTAGATGGAAGTAAATGTAAATTATATAATCTATAAAATGATGTAAAAGTATTTTTTTATTGCTTACAAGTACATCCATCCATCCATCTTCTTATGCCGAGCCGGTTTGCGGGGAAACAGCCTAAGCAGAGAAGCCCAGACCTCCCTCTCCCCACCCACCTCCTGGATGGCCGAACTCATCACCCTTCAGAGAAAGCTCATTTCTGCCGCTTATTTCCGTGATCTCATTCTTTTGGTCACTATCCACAGATCATGACCACAGGTGAGGTTAAGGATGTAGACCGACCGGTACATTGAGAGCTTGTCTTTTACTCTCAGCTGTCTCTTCACAACGACAGACTGATACAGCGGCTGCAGTGATGCAGACGCTGTATCACTGCAGCCTTCTCCCGTCACTTGTGAACAAGACCCCAAGATACTTAAACTCCTCCACTTGGGGCAGGAATTTGTCCCTGTCCCTGACAGAGTCCAACACCCACCGGAAACAAGTCTGACTTATTGCCAGCTGTGCAGACCAAGCTCTTGCAACAGGTTGCATAAGCATTTAGCTTATACAAACTGCTTAAAAGTTCTCCCACAGTCCAAAGACATCCAGTTAGTGGGGACAGGTTAATTGATCAATGTAAATTGCCCATAGGTGTAAATGCGGGAGTAAATGTGAGTGGGACTGGTTGTCTGTCTCTGTGCGTTAGCCCTGCGACAGACTGGCAACTTGTCCAGGGTGTACCCTGCCTCTCACCCCATGACAGCTGGGATAGGCTCCAGCGCCCCCGTGACCCTGGAAAGGATATTCGGAAGCGAATGGATGGATGGACTTTTCATAGTCACTTTGTTAATGCTGTCCATTTAAATGGTCTTACCCGTACACACTGGCTCCTGTTAAGGATCCTCCATCTGAATGATGATCTGAACACTCTTCTGAACAAACTAGCAGGTGTAGAAGGCCCTACTGGCCCATATCTATGGGGCTGATTTCTGCTAATAATGCCCATTGAATGGAATGATGACTTCTGAAGCAGGTGTCTGGCGAGTAGCGCGCGAGTTTGGGATTCTTCATTATTCATGACACAGAGGGAAACTTTATTAATACTTTTGCAAAGTACGTGGCTTACCTCTAATAGTTAAACACATTAGGTCAATGACTGGATGAATTAGACTCATTAATGTCACGTGGTATGAATAAGCCAATTACATTGCAAACTCACTGAGATCAAAGAGCCATCAAACTGTGACGTCATCAGAAGAAATGCTTATAAAGAACCCGCGTTCAGTCTGACCCTCAGTGTTTTTGTGTCCGTCAAACTTTCACTAAACTTCTCCTGCGAAGATGTACTGAGAAGAAGCATTTTTACACGTTTTCAACTAGTATCCAAGAAGGATTTCCACTCGTCTTATCGCTAAGATAGAAGACAGAATCTAGTTACACTCCAATCCAATCCAACTTTATTTATAAAGTACTTTAAAATAGCCAGCACAGGACCAAAGTGCTGTACAGTAAATAAGTTAAGAACAATAGAATAAAAGTTACAAAAAAAAGTTAAACACATAATACATAAAAATTAAAACAGCCCTATATAAAAAACAACATAAACATCATAGAATCAACAAAAACAACTAAAAT